ATTCTATTTCAAGACATTTAGTTTGCATACACGCTGTGTAGGCGGGGGGCACTGTCCTGAGAGGCGCAGGGTGGAAATTTTCCTCTTGGCTAATAATAGGAAATGTTGGGAAGGTGGTGCTAAGGGGAAATGTTTAACCATTCAGGCATCATTCAGTCTAACACGCTAGGCAAGATATATTTACTAGTTCCCGGTCAGACCTGAGATCACAGCATCTGCCATCTGGCAGAGCATCTGGAAGTCTTCCAACATCAAGATGTCATGTTACTAAATGGTAATACAGTAATACCTCGTATCAGGGATACCGGCACAGGTGACCCCACACTGCGCAGGTACCCTCGCAGAAGGACCAAATGCGTGACCACACAAGACAAGGCAAATTAGTTTTTTATATAGTTTTAATATGCCAACCAAAATAATATAAACAGAAACAAGTACGAGTAACCAACTACATCTAAAACAAACCACATGCAAAAAGTAACAGGCAAGTAAACCCGGGGAGCAAAGCAAAACACCAGGGGAACTAAGTGACAAAAGGTCAGGGTACAAGGAGGAAACAGGACTCAGGAACATAAGCTGGTCACAGCTCCGGACAACAAGCATGGAACAGGGCTCCGGATTCATAGGAAATGGCAACAGGATACTGTGGCAATATCCAGACTGCAGGGAGGGATTAAATACCCTCCCTGGTGGTGATTAATCACTAACAGCTGGGAGACGGCCACAGGTGAGGACTGAACATGCAGGTTCCAGCACCACCCAGTGGTGGTCTGGTACCTGACATCTCCTGTCTGCCTTGAAACACCTGTAGGTGAGCGCAGAAACTGCAGGACCTGGTTCCTGCGCCACCTGGAGGTGCTACGGTCCATGACGCCTCTGTTCGCAAACAATACGGTCGTGAACAGGAAGTTCGGCAAAATTTTGCTTCCGTTCGCGAACTCCGCATTGGGTGATGAACACAACCATTGCCATCTTCCCCACTCTGATGCGTGGTTGTGGCTTCCTTTTGTCGAGATCGCGGTTGCAAACAGACCTGTGCACATTTGCTGTGAAGCTTTTTAGCACATACAGTACTGCACAGTATTATTCAAAGAAAGTGCTCCAAAGAAAGTGCAGAGCGCTGATGAATTTACATATGGTTCAGAACGGATTAACCTCATTTACATTGAACCTTATGGGGAAATTTGATTCGGTTCACGACCAATTTGGTTCGCGACCAAAATCGTGGAACAAATTAAGGTTGCGAACCGATGTACCACAGTAGCTGGAAAAGAAAGTTGATCCTGGAATAGGAAAAGGTGTGTCACAATAAACCTTAAAGGACACCCACCATTCACCATGTTGACTGATGAATGAGGCACATGACACATTGCATGGCACCCTTTATGTTGGCTTATTATGTCCATTTTATTATCGTCAGATGCAATGGGAGCACCAAGAAAGGCTCAAAGGCCACTCAATGGTCTACTGCTTACATGATTGAATAGTTGGGCTACACAGTGATAGAGCCTTGGTTCAGATACTGACTAGGATGATATTTGTACTCTAATTTCTTCCACATGCCAGAGACATGCTGGTAGGTTAAGTGGTTTCTGTCTAACTTGACCTTCATGTATGCTGAATAGAGACTTTAGATTGTAAGCTCCTTGAGGACAGGAACTGACTTGAAAACTTGAAGTATGTGAAGAACTGTGTAAACTACGGTCACCATATAAAAAACGACTGCTTATAACATCAGGGGTCCTGAGTTAGTATCTGAATGTTATTAGGAATATTTTAAGAACCACATTGAATCTCTAAAGATAGTTTAAGTCTCAGCTTTCCCCTAAAATAGATAATTCATTGTACATGACTCTACTATACAGTGATTGTAAATACAATGTGTCATGTCTACATGTTACCCTCTGAGTAGCCCATGTACACAGGAAGACGTGATATTATTTGGATCTGATTTCTAGATTTTTAAGGACAGAATGTATTCTTTAAAGTGAGTGAGATTCTAGTGAATGGAAACTGGAGAAATGGAGAATGATTGATTACACATTTCACAATTATATTTGGTAAAGTTTAAGACTGAATGAGATTTTTTCGGTACACAAAAATAAATTCTCAGTTTATAAAACAAAACATATTTATTATTTCCTTTTAAAAAGCATCCATACAGGTAAAACATTCTTTGTGCATGACATAGACATCCTCTATAAAGCATACAGTCTCTTATGAAGACAGCGCTGTTGTTGATTCCCTATATCTTGTATCATGGTAATAATTCCATCATCTAGGAACTCGAAGCTTCAAGCGATGGGTAGTGTCTGGTTTATATCTCAATGCGTTTCACTACAGTTGCTTCCACAGGAGGAGGTGTTACGGTCCAGCATGAAGATGACAACACCTGATAAAACCATGTGAGTGTCACACTTGGGGGCTACAATAAGAGGGGATAAGTCCAGGAACTGGGACTATCAATACATACAGGTATTATTATCATACAGGATTTATATTGCACCAACAGAGCTTTACAAAATGGAGGAGACAGTACAGTTGCAATACAATTTCAGTACAATAGGGTTAGGAGGGCCCTGATCCTGAGAGCTTACAATCTAGTTATCTTTATAAAACAGGATCGTTCATAAATAGTAATCAGGTTTTTGGGTAGTGAGGGCAGGAAAGGACTTACCAGCAAATGGTACTATGAGAAGCTACCTTGTGCTGGCTCTGGTAGTAACTTCCTCCAATTTCCTATGGGAAAAACCAACTTTCCCACAATGGCATTTGATTTAGTTTTATCATGGATGGTGTGCTGAAAATCCTTTTTGCTATTTTGAAGAAATACTACAATGTAATCTCAGTGCATGCATTTTATTGAGATGATATTGCATGTTTCACCTACAAGTATTCTTTAAAAGAGAATTTTGGGGTGTGAAAAACACTCACCCCCATAAATCAAGCCGACATGTGACACTGAAGCTGTCACAGGGCAGCTCTATTTACCGGGAAGTCAGCGAACACACATCGCCGATCGTTGACTTCCTGATCCTCTCCCTGCAGAGAGCGGTGGCTGACAGTCACTGCTCCCCACAGGGATTCTCCCCCCTCCCCTCTCTGTTTCTCCAGCACTGAGAGGCAGAGCCAGCTTTCAATCAGCCAGCGGGGTGGTTCCGTTCTGACTGTAGCTTGGCTCTGCGCTGTCAGCATATAGCGGGCATTAGCCTGCTATATGCTTAGTTTTGGGTCACAGGAAGACATTAGGACTAAAGCATTAGTATATGTCCTCCTGTGACCCTGAAGAGAACTATGCCCAAAAAAGGTTGGCCCATAGTTCTCTTTTAATGTGGCTTTCAGAGTGTAGATGTGGCGCCAGGTTTTCATGGTTATGTTTCATATATGGGGTATAAAAATATTAGGGTTTTGCCACTATTTGTATGTCACAACTATCAAGAGTTCAATGTTGGGATCCCATGTGAGTGATCTGAGCAGGCTGGAACCATTATAGAGGAACTGAGACTTCAGTATTTGCATAATGCTAAAATGTTTATTGTGAGGAGTTGGCTGGTTACAGCAGCCCAGCAAATAATTGAACCAAGTACAACAATACACACAGCGATACAGGACACAGAAAATACAGATATGGAATGAAGATACAGGAAAGACCTAATTAAAGGCCTTGTGTAAGGATAGGGAGAGAAGGACTGCTGCACAAGTGGACTAGAAACAGGCAAGTCAAAGTACAGGGTTATGGCAGAGCAGTGTAAGAAAACAGTACTGACTGCTCAGATGTGTGATTGGCAGAAAGATGAAGTTAGAAATCCAACGCAGCCATGAATCAGAGTAACATCAGACTGATGGACTGTCCGGTTCACAATATTTATTAAAAACTCATATGTACATCTCATTGATGTAAGGAGAGTCGCCAGAGTAATTTTGAGACAAGTTTTTGCTGCTAGGAAATAGAGACAGAATAGTTCCTTACCACCAGGGCCTAGAAACAGGACAAATGCCTATCAAGTTTTGGCTTTAGAATCAAATACAGTCCAAGATAGCCTGCCACTAAACACACAAGGATCGCTGAGGTTCTAGTTGGTTCCTATTGGTTTGTTTTACTGAATAAGCCGGTTTGTGTTAAAGGAGAACTATGAGGGGGGGGGGGGGGGTTTTTCATCCCCCTCATGGTTTT